CTACGCCTATCCACGTGCCTATTTGGACAGGGCGCTTTGTAGTCGAAAATGATTCGGTCTGCCAATAGTCAGTATCCTGTGTGGCTTTTTCAAGTGACACTAACCGAGCGTAGGAAACCAGAACACCCCTCCAAACCCATCCATTTCTCGAGCACCACCTCCCATTCCTCATAATGCTCTTCTATCCTCAATGAAGCAAGGGCGGGCTCAGCCCATTCGCTGCGCTCCGTGGGGACATTCATTATCTTGTTCTTGACTCTCCCCTTGTGCTTCGTCACCTTCGTCGCCTTCTTCGCCTCGTTCCCCCCTCTCTCTGCGAGTTTCAACCGTTTTGGCGACTTCTTCCGTGGCTCCTCATTCCCATCATCTTCGGGTTCGGTGCTGCTCTCTCCCCCATCAGGTCCTGATTCTGAATCATTCGACGCTGAGTCCGAGTCAGACTCTCCCTTGCGCGGCTTCTGCTTGGATCGCTTTCGCTTGACCGATGCTAATGCGATATCGGCCCCTCTCCAAGTTGGCCGCTCCTGCTCGTCGACCATCCCACTCGGTTCAGCCAATTCTTCTTCTGTTCGCCTCGAAGAAGTATCACCCGCAGCACCTGGAGACATCGCCGATGACGAATCAACGATATCCTGGCTCACAACAGCTGTAGTAATGCTGTCATCGCCCACATCAGCCCTCGTAATCCGAGACGATGACTCCATGGGCTTGACGCCAGCTGTGACTGCAGTTGTATCGTCGGTTGTTCCAGACGGCGTAATAGCTTTGCCATCCGGGAGCGCTATGCCTGTTCGAGCTTCATCTACCACACAGGGTCAGCAACCAATATCCAAGAGCTGTCGCCATCGCTACTTACGAGCTGCGACTATGTATCTTGCATACGACTGAATCATATTCGCATATGCTGTTGGATCGCTCCCCGCGAAGTCGATCTGAGTGGAAGAGGATGAATGCAGTCTAGACAACAAATCAGCACTTCCACAGCCCATTTTCTTGTTCGCCACTCACGTTCGGACCTTGCAATTGACACTATTATCCTTCGTTTCCACCCTGCCATAGAGCAATGCGATTTCACAGCCAGTGTATTGGTGCAGAGCGTCCAGCAGACCCTGGAAGGTGTCAGGCAGGCGACGTCGAGCTCTATTGGATGTTGGTCAACAAGCTGGATACTCGTTCAAGTGGGAACATACTCTGCCTGTTCGTCTTCGTCTGGAGTCAACTCCGCCAGCTTTGCCGCATTATACACTAGCTTGCTCGAGTCCCCGTTGTCGTCAGCCTCGTTCTGAATCAACTCCCGCGTTTCCTCCGATTCTTCCTCGAACAATTCTTTGGCCACCTCAGTGCGTTTTTTGAGGTGTTCTTCCCGTGGCAATTTATCGTGCCCACGAGCGATGAATTCGTCCCTGAACCTTCGCCTTGAATGTCGGATGCCTCATGTAGAACTGGTGATCGGGAATCCGTCTAGGCGCGCCTGCGTTTGTAATGCGAAGCTGTTTCAAGAGGCTTTGGAAGGGGTTCGGCCTGTCGTGAATGTTTTTCTGACGACTAAACCAAGACATGATACTCTGCTGGCTGATTAGCGACGACCGGATTAATCTTGGTCAAAGAGCCTACAGTCTCGGTTTTTTTCATAACGGCGGCCTTGGTAGCTTTTTCTTCGTCGTTCTCTGGAGCTCGCGCCAAATATTCCAGCTCGTCCGATTCGTGAGGCGGTTCGGTGGCCAATGAGCAACGCCAAGGGAACCTCTTCCAATATTCAGGGAAAAGGGAATCCCAAATGCTTTTGCCCGACCCGCGTTTGGGCCGCTTCCCTAAGCTTCGTGATGGCGGCATACTCGTCGACCCATTCATTGAGGAACTCAAGACGCTGGCCATGAAAATTTCCCTGGTTGCCGCATTTCTTCCGCTTCCCCTTTTCCTCCAGGTCAGCTTCTTCCCCGATGTCCTTGTCAGTTTCGTCTGGATTTTCGTGCCGTTTTCCCTTGGACGACGAAGATGCAGATGTGCTAGGTGCCATTATGGGAGACGAGAGCGGCTGAAGGCTTGTCCGCATTATTTTCGCTTTCGCGCATTACTTTCGCTTTCACTTTGGCTCTGCGATCCTGCCGGGTCTATGTGTCACATAACCGCACTAAATCTCGCTTCCTCTCGACTACCATGTCTACATCCGTTGCCACTGCATCTTCATCGACCCCGACCCCCTCTGCGACCATTGTGCCTGTATGTTCCTTCTTCCCCCTCCCATTATTGAGCTCACTCCTGACGCAGCGTCGCGAAGAAGGCTCTTTGACCATTCGCTACTATCGTATCGATGGCCAGTCAGGTCTCCAGACCTTTCCCGTTTCTCGCCCTCTGCCCAACGCGACGGTTGGTCAAGTCATGTCGTGTTTTTGCGTCGGTCTGGGACGCCAACCCTATGGATTGCTCCGACTGTCCTTTCGGCTGGACCACCTTGCTGGGCAAAAAAATGGAGCGCAACTTCACGATAATCCATCGCTGCAAGCACAATCGTCAGGACAACAGGTTTGACGACGAGACGGCGAACGAGGCAATCCGGCAACTCTTCCCTGTCCCTTACTATCCTGTCGAGGGTCAGGTCATCGTCATCAAGCATGGGTATCTTCCCATCGAGCCCTTCTCGGACAAAAGCTTGCCCAGCAGCCTGTACTCGGTCAAACCCCTGGATGTCGAAGAGAATGACATCCCTCTCATCGATCTTTTTGTTCGCCAGTATGTGGACATTCCCTTTCGTTGCCTCCTCTGAATCGTTGTTAGATGGGCTTATGGTGGGCCGTTCGGCACGCCAATACCGCCGCGAGCTTATGAGATGGTTGGACAATGTCATTTCGAGTAGATACATTTGCTTGGACTTTTTTTTGCTTGTTACTATGCATGTATTCATCAGTACTGTGTCGTCGCTCGCTGTTCCTCCTCCTTGTGACTGCTAAGCGCTCACTGCCGCTCAGGCGCTTATCGATGGTAAGCGTGACGCTTACTCACTTCTTCTTTCTCAGCTTCCATTAACCTCCCGACCTCCAATAACCTCTACACGCGCTGTGGCAACACCTTCGAAGAATGTGTGTCCATTCTAGACTGCCCAAGAGTCCGAGCAGTGGCGCAAATGGCCATACGAAAACTCTTAGAATCGCCCAGTAACGGCCCACCAACCCATTCTATGCCAAATGCCAGCAACACCACCCACCTCTCCAGCAACACCAACGCCCTCCTCGTTTTCACCTGGTACGTCCTATCCTTACACTTAGCTGGCAGTGTCTGATTCCTTTGGTGGTGTAGGCACTCTTCCCGCGGTCACTGGGAAATTGACCTTATTCCAGTCCCCCGACTCCACGCGCAAGCACATCAAGCAGCGCACCCCAACGCGCAAATCGCCCAACTGGATTTCTCGATCAGTGGTGCAGACGGGGAGGCGATTGAGCGTGCTTGGTAATTTTTTTCGCTTCATGATGGGTCGATACTGATTACTGAGGTCGGTAGGACAAGTCAAGCAGGCCCTTCTCTCCTACAACGTCGCCGCATTGAAAGGCGTAAAAAGCTGTCAAATGACGAGGAGCCTCTGGATCAAGCTCAAGCTGCAGTCCAGCCAGCGGTATTCCAAGACGCGGGCACCGAGCAATATCGACAGTATATCGACGGTTTGCCTCACAAAGGTGAGCTATCGTTGTTTGGTTTTCCAACATCTCTCTGACTTCTACCTTCAGATCGACGGCACATGCTTCTGGAACTGCGCCGTCTTCAAACACAGTTGCAGAGCCATCGCAATCAGCTTTGGGATCGACGTCGCGAGTTGGGACGTCTGTGGATCGAGGAGGATGACCTAGCCACTGAGCTCGTGTTACGGCGCGCAATGGACACCATCGATGAGGAGCGTGAGCTATTGCGCACCTTCCGCGACCAGGCATCTGACCAGGAGGATTGGCTAATGAAAAACACGAAGGCGAGCCCGTTTTACTGGTAGAAAATGCCATTATTCTTGTGCCTTTTTCTTCTTGACTAGTTTGCGTTCCTAATCAACCAATCTGTAACATACCTACCTACCTATCTTTCGTCGACAACTGAAATAAAAAAAATCTTGATTAATAACAACCAAGCAAGCGCGCCGCGATCGTGATGTTGCCGACGCGTCTCCTTGAATATCTTACCCTATGCTGAGAACCCCGAACAAACAATATATTGGGCAGACAATAAGGACGAGCTGGACAGTAAGGACAAGCTGGCCCAACTATGGTAATACTCGTTAGTAAGTGTAAACGCCCCTAGGTCGGGTGTCACGGATTTCTTGACCTGGAAAAAAAAATCCTATTCTCTGCTATAAAATACAAAATTGCAACTGTAGCTTTGAGGAAGACATGCCCCATGCCAAATATGTCGGAACATTTGAGTTGCATATTACAGAGTTTTATGGTACATCGAAAACGACCAGAAGGCAAGCGAAACCCAGTATGGGGTGTGACCTGCCTGGCACTACTTATCTCTGTCCACTTCTAAACAACGACTCCATGGATACTAAAGGCGTCGCCTTGCCACAACAAAAGCCCAGGTTCGATTTCTTCTCTTACTAGCACTTCGTAATCTACAAGATATTGAAATCTTGCCCACTAGGCACCTGGACAGCGACGAGATATCCAAAGGCGAATCATACTCTAACACTGATTACCTCTATGCTCGGCGGGCTTTGGGTCCTCCCTTGATCTCCGTTGAGACTTACGACTCGAGTTGGTGCCTCTCTGGGAAGGCCATGCATCCTGCCAATCGTCCGATCCACCACTTCAGCAACACACCTGTCGCGGGCAAGTTTTCTACTCCATCACTCGCTTTTATACTCATATCCTTGCCCTAGGTCGTACATCCTAGTAGATTAACCACAGTAGCGTTGTTAATTATACACAGTGTACTTGGTGCGACTACTTAATACTCTTATGTGAAAATGTGTGACGCGTCAAGCATCCCTGGTCTTCGCCTCCATCTACTGCTCACCAACTATGGCGCCGGCCACTAAATATCACACCCAGGCTGAAAAGAAAGAAGCCCATCGACTTCGGCAGAAGAAATACCGCGAGAGCACCAGGTGCGTGTTTGCACAATGGAGATCGTCATACTGATGCAAATGTCCCTACTGCTTCGTTTTCCAGAGGAGCTCTTCTTTCGCAAGCTTACGACTCTCATCGACACTCCCGAAAAGTGGCCAAACCTCTCCGTCTACCACCACCCCCTCCACTTCTGCTGGACCAGGCCCGTTTCGAGGTTCTCGACGACGAGAAAGGCTTCATGTACTACTTCGATGAAGATTTCGAGCTTGCGGACAGCGACCTGAAGTTCTGGGCTGGCTTTCCATTCTACGAAATTGAAGACGACACTATGGATCACACCACTGCCGAATACAAGAAGGAAACTCGTCGTCTCGAGGTAGCATTACATGGTTATTCCCTGCGAACCAAACAAATGGAGGAAACAGCTCTCCGCAAACGACTTAAAGCACTTGAGCGAGAATCAGACGGTGCTGCTCGAAAACGAAGGTGTCAAATCCAAGCCTATGAGGCGGCCCTATGTTTTTGGCGCACACATTTTCGATGGGTTGACGCTTTTAATCCAGAAACGCAGCCAAGAAAGCATGCTCTTTTCTTGTGCCACTGGCAATGGGCGGCTCGCACGGCAGCTCGTATGTACTTTTGTCATTATCTCGACGATTGAAAGTAGGGAAATACTTTTGGTACTGTACTGAAATACAAGTAGTAGGATGGCATGGTCATAGAAAAATAAGTACTGTAGTATGGCTTTGAATGATTATAGCAGTGGTAGACGATGTACTCAGAGCAGGGCATCGTAAGTAACTATCGAGGACCCAATTTGTGGTCACATGATCGGCCTTTCCTTTTTAGATCTTTGTTGATCACTATGACCTGGCGCCAGCAACGCGCCAAGCGTCATCGCTCCTCCTCTCCAGACGCATATACCCACGTTATCCCTTTGACGACTGGTCCCTCGACATTCAACGCGCCTCTTGACGGAGGCATAGAACGTGTTTCTGCTGATAGTCGACGGACAACGTCGCAGAGCGTCTCCATCCTACCACCTTCACCTCTGAAGCGGCTTCGAATAGCCTTGTCATCTTCCGCCCCCTCTCTGCCGAGTTTGATCGATATCGAAGCTGACTCTTACTGTATGGGAGGGGGAGAGGATGACTGGACAGAAGAGCCGCTAAGAGAGACTTTTGTGAAAGTACCTCGCGTGTTACAGCCTGCGGTACGTCCTACAGCTTTTTACATTGGCTCTGGTATCTAAAACAGGCGTAGGATGCAGCCTTGCGGGACTGGATGCTGCACTATCGCGACAGCTTCCTTCGAATTCTACTCTGGCGCCATGGGAGGGGTGAGTATGAGGAGCTTTGCTACCACTGTGGCAAGGGGGATGCTGTCTATCGTTGCAAAGAATGCTTCGGGGGGGCGCTATCCTGCCAGGCTTGCTGCGTCGACAAGCACATGGAAAACCCTTTCCACTTGATCGAGGTAGCCTTTTTTTTCGTTTGTCGTTGATTCTCGACTCAAATTTCACCAGTGCTGGAATCAAGTCTATTTCCAATCAACCTCATTGAAGACCTTGGGGCTACGTATCCAGGTTGGCCATCCCCCGCGCCAAACCTGCGACCGACCAATCCCTGCTCGTCACGACTTTGTTATCCTCCACCACAATGGTATCCACGAGGTCTCGTTAGACTACTGTGGCTGCCGAAGGTCTTCGGATCCGTATTTCGCTCAGCTTCTACGGGCTGGATTATTCCCAGCTACAACCGACAACCCAAGGACCTGCGCGACACTGTGCTGTCTCGACCGATACCATAATCTCACGCTCCACGGAAAGATAACCGGGTGGGACTTCTACCGCTGTCTGGAAACACAAACGAACGCTAAGGGGATCAAGCCCCCCGACCGATATCAAATTTTCCTTCGAATCGCACGAGAATACCGACACATGCAATCTCTCAAGCGCGCGGGGGCCGTGGTTATGACTCGAGGGGTGTATCAGAGACGGCGCCGGGTGAACTGGCTCTTCGGTGTCCTGCATGTCCCCGTCCAGGCATCAACTTGCCAGAGGATTGGCAGAATGCTCCGCCGTCGCAAGCGTATGTTCTTCTTTGAGCTATTCTTCCCCTTTACTTATATCATCTTTCCTATTAGGGGGCTCTACGTTTTCTTCTTGGCCATGGACGCCTGCTTCCGACTCAAACGGCGCGCGATCTCTAACGAGATCAGAGATCCGGCTCTCAGTAATGGATGGGCTTACATGGTCGAATGGGAACCCTACAAGTCATACCTTCTTCACATTGGTGATCAGCAAGAGGTATGGTCTATCGTTTCATTCAATTATGGCGCTTACATATGAGCGGTTTGTAGATCAGTACCTGCACTGGACTAGCAGCTCTCGACTACGCCAATACTAAGTTTTCCCGGGGTTACAGTGCTACGGGAGTTGGCATGGGAGTATGCGCTCGACACGAATTTGTTCAACCAACTGGAGTCGCCGACCTTCAAGCGGGAGAGCGGTACATTGACTTTTTGCTTGTTTGGTCACTGCCTGACTTAAAGCTTTAGATTTGGGAACATGGACTATATATTTGGGTCCATTTTGCGGCACTTGCATCCTCTACTTCGAAAACTAATATCCTACGATATCGCGTGCCAATGGTGGAAAAATCTCTTCGACCGTCTACGAAAGCTCCCTCCCATGCTTCGACTACTTTTGGTTCTCGAAGTCTTCATGAAGCTTTTCATCTTTGTCGTCCCGAAACTCCACATTCTGGGTCATACGACTTCTTGTCAACTCTTGTATTCGCTCAATTACACACTAGGCGGCGCGCAGACAGATGGAGAGGGGATTGAGCGCCCATGGAGCATGATAGGCGCGGTAGCGGCAAGTACAAGGGTTAGCGGGCCTGGGGCAAGATCGGATCTGCTTGATGATCATTGGAGTTTTTGGAACTGGTCGAAGAATCTTGGTTTACGTTTGTTGTTCCTTCAATCTTTATGGCCTGTTGTACTGACGACCAAACTATAGCAGCTCTTCTTCGAAAGCGTCTAGATACAGCATTACATGAACAACAAGTTCAAAGGACGGCTTTCGAGGAATTCTCGCTAGATCAAGCTGAGCGTGTACCGCGTTGGAAAACCATGGTCCATGAATACGAAGGAGATAGCACGAAACCTAATCCATACGAGGGCAAGGTAGATGGTGAGTAGCAAATGCTTGGTATCTTCTTGTCTAATGCGAAAGTTTCTTAGGTCTCACCGAAGCACAAGTCCGGGAAAGGCTAGAGGCGGAAGAAGAAACACAGAGCTCAGCGGGACGACTCCGTATCCACGAGATTACCCCAGTCAACTTTGTCACTGACCTTCTGGAAGTTGAGAGTGAACAGTACGTCTCTTTCTCTCTCATATTCGCATATACTTAGACTTATTGGATGTCAGACGTCGCATTGCTGGTTTGGCTGAGCTGAAGAAAGCGAAATCGACAACAATGAAGATAAATTTACGTAGTCTTCGTCGAGCTCTCAACAAACGCATTACGAAGGTCCGCCAACTTCAAGCAACATATATGCCGGCGTCGTTGGCTGCATGTCAAGCAGCTCCAAGTACCTGAAGACGCGCTGCCCGAGGATGTTCCCTTGTTACCACCCTCGGCCTTGACGCGCTTGCAGCGGGAGAATGGAGGTTGCGTTGACGGACTAGTTGACATCGAGAAGACCTTGCGGGAGGCTCAGTGTCGCGCTGCGTTGGTGGGATTACGCAATCAGCTCCTCATCAAATATCGCCTCTTGTTGTACAAGACGAATCACTCTCGGAACCAAACGATGAACACTCGCTCAAGGTCGTTAGTTGCTCGAAACGAGAGCAAAGTCTTGTTTTACTCCAAGAAATACCAAGCGGCGTGGCTGGCGTTGGTGCTTATTGCAGATGGGAATGAAAAGGCTGTTGGTTGGAGACGACTGTGCAAAGAGGACATCAGATGCCTCGAGGACTCTGAGGAATTGGCCAAGAAGCATGCCAAAGGCCAAAAGGCAGAGGCTCGTCGTGCTCGGGACGAACGAGACTTGCGGGCTGCCGGCATCACTCCTCTCAATATTCATCGCGTGCAACATGAAGACTCGGATGGGGAAGGGGAAGATGTTTTCGCTTTCTCAGCGCCACCTCAGAAACGCTCAGCCGTTAAGAAGAAGATGCCGGCACCAAAAGGCAACGCAATCCAATCCGGCGAGAGCAAGAGGGTCGTGTCGTGGATATGGACAACGGCTGGTATGACAGGCTCCGACGCCGAAATAGAGGAAGGTAAGGTTCTCCTCGTTGTCCGTAGTCAACTCATTTACGACATATACAGCTTATGCTCGAGTACGATGATGGGACGAAGAGGTTCTCCTTCTTCAGGAAGAGTGGCGTCGACTGCCCGAATCGTTTGCGTACGAGGGACAGCTTTGGGCTCAGAGGGCTAAAGATGTTCCTGTGGGTTCCATTCCTGTCGCAGACGCCGAGGGGATGATTGCATATGCTGTCCAGCATCACAACATGTACCAACATCTGTCTCGACGAGCAGAGGTCATACGGACACAACCCAAGCTCAGGAGGGGCGCTCGGCGGGCGAGGGATGATCAGGAGGCAAGCATTTGGGTCGGATTTGAAGCTGGGGAAGAAGGGGAGGCGGATATTGATGGGGTGATCGAACGTGATGATGACCTAGATGATAATGGAAATCTGAGCGACGAAGAGCTGCTACTTACTGGAGAAATAGACGACTAACTAGCAATACACGTGACTACATATATTACCGACCGTTCGTCCGACTGTCCTGTTTTGGACAAAAAACCATTGATGGGACCAAGAATAATGTTGATGTGATCATTAGGTGCATTTCCGAGGGTGATGGCATCAATAGGTGTATTTTCCTGGCCGTGGGGGATACTATATAAGGCAGGCAACATCTTTTGCATTACAGCCCACATCTTTTGCATTACCCCCTTGGGCACTGGCCCACTTCTTTCACGTAGAATGGGCTATATGGGGTGATTGGATTGACAAAACTCTTCAGCGAGTGCGAGAGCTTGTTGCAGAAAACCCAGGGAAAAGGTCAGAGGATATTGCGCGTGACGCACAAAAATGGCTCGACGACCAGGCTGGGGATAAAATCAATCCACTCCTAGGGCTGACTGGGCTTGACCCCGCACGCGACACACCCGTCGAGATTCTCCACACCGTTCTCCTTGGTGTTGTCAAATATGTTTGGCACCACTTGAATACCAAGCAATGGTCCGATGCCCACCGCGCGTTGCTCGCGATCCGATTGGAGTCTACAGATATTAGCTCTATGAATCTCCCGCCAATTCGGGGCGCCTATATGGTGCAATATCGCAATAACCTGATAGGGAAACACTTCAAGGCCATCATGCAGGCTCTGGCTTTCCATATCCACGACATTTGCACACCCGAACAGTTCCAGTTGGTCAAAGCTACAGCCGATCTGGGAGCGAGAATATGGGTTCCTGCCATACACGATATGAAGGCCTATATTGCGGACCTCAAAATTGCCATTGCCAATGTTCTCGACGCATGGGATGTTGTAGATCCACTCCGGATACTCACAAAGATTAAGCTCCATCTTCTGGTCCATTTACCGGAGGACATTGAGCGATTTGGCCCACCTATTCTCGTGTCCACGGAAACACAAGAGGGATACAACGCCGTTTTTCGTATGTGCTCGATCAACAGTAACAATCAGGCGCCGAGTCGCGACATCGCGCGAAAAGTTTGCATCCATGAATACAGTCAAGCATCTGCTATGTGGCGGCTTCTGGAGATCACCAAAAGACGCGAAATGGATTCAACCGGGACCAGGGCTTGTGCAGCTGCTCAAGACAGACAGTGTTTTCCAACGACATCTCGGATGGGTTACCAAACCTTCACCTGTCCCAGGCTTCACACGCCTTCTGGGATTAGAAAGAAATCCGGCAATCCCATGGTCAAAAACGACTGCCGCGCGCCATGTGATTCCTTCCGAAATTTCAGGCCCAATCGATGTTGATTCAGTCTGGCGCCCCGGTTTATATGTGGTCTCGAAGAATGGAGATCATGTCCAGCGCTGCACTTGGGCATTTGCGCGGGACTCGGAAGCAAAACTGTTTCTCGGAAGAGTTCAGGAGATCGTTTACGCCAAGGGGGTTACTCTTGTAACTTTGGAACGCTTCATTTGCTCCTCGGAACGTCATCCGGTATTTGACTGGCCGGTTATACGACGTCCAAACGGGGAGGAAATCAAAGAAAATATCACAACTGAGGTTGTTGTGGCTGGTGCTGATATCGAGTTTACTTGCTCAGTTCAACATGACTGCCGTGGTGGGAGCTGCCGACCTTCGGCCATCGGCAAGTGTCTTCAAGAGCGGGAGGAAACCACTCAGGACTTGAGTTTGATCAAACATTTCGACGATGACAAATATATTCTGAACCTGGGATCGACCCACAACTTTGCGCTATTAACCCAGGTTCTGCCGCCCGATGCATACCTTCTCAAGCCTCTTCAACATGATCGTGCTGCATTCCACCGATCAATGTCAGCGACAGCTCACGGGAAACGCACAACGGCACGCGAACAAACTGCGCAGAAGCGGCGGCAGAAGGCTGCAGCTCGGAAACAGAACACAATGGAGCAAGCCCCGGAGAATTATGCAGCTGAAGAGGGCAACACTGACTCAGGGGATGAGCCTGAGCCTGAGCAACCAAAGGAGTTGGAAAATTCAGATGATGGATCGGAGGAGGAACAGATGGATGACGGTGATTATGTACCACCAAAACAGGGGGTCACGAAAAATCATGGCAATCCAGGAGGACTTAAAAGAAAAAGAAGGAGGTTACATTAGATTTTTGTACTCAAGTACTGGCATAAAAGCAAGATCTCCTTTAGACTCCCCCCAGCAGAGCAACTGGATATCAGATGAAATGTCTTGTGAATATTCAAATATATATTATTGGGTTATTATCCTGAGATCTAAATGACATCCTTTCCCTGATATACCGAGTATATTTCATGTTCCTCAATTTGATGTCTGGCCATGAAGTCCTTTTGACATTCCATCTAGACATCTATGGGATATCACTATGGGTTGGGGGTGTAGCACTAAGAAATAAACGGCGCCTGTTTCAATCGATCTGGTCTTGGAGCAGATCAAACACCCTTTTTTGGACCAGTTTTGTCATCAAAATGGGAATCAAAAAATATGATCCAGGGCCCTGATATGTATTAATGGAATATTCGGCATTCAAGGACTCCTGGTGTGACTCCTAAAATTTAAAAATATGACTAAATATTTTAAGCTGGTTTATAAGTTTAAAGTTACTTATACTGTATTATTTCGATTAAGTGTCTGTGTTACATATTACACTGGCAAAAAACTCCTCAGAAACAAATTGCTAAAATCAAAAGTAAATTTTTTGGCTTTCTTGGGTACCAAAAAATCAAAAATCAGTGGACAGTTGATGAAAATACTACAGTGGCATCTAAGAAAATTTTATTTCAATGATTTTTCTGGACAAAGAATTGAAGCTAGATGATATCACCGTATTGTCACTTTACTGTAGCTGTAAGGGGCAACCCTGGAGACTCCCACAAAAGCCGCTGCCTAGCAGGGGAGGATCCAAAGCGTGAATAAAAGCTACAGGAAATACACGGGGGGACCAACCTAGCAGGGGAGGATCCAAAGAGAAGAAACTCTAAGAGTCTGCCTGCTAGGGTGCCAACTATATACTGGTCGTCCGTAACTGCCAACGTAGAGCACAGAAGGCCTGAGCGGCATCACAGGCTCTGTTCCAAGGTGACCATTGGGAGGGTCTTGACGGATCGGTGATTGTGCAGGCGAAGGAGGCCGAGGACGAGGGTCAGGGTGGGTTGGAGCGTCCGAGGGGTGCCGGCCGGATGCGCCTCGGATGCGCTCGGACGGTCCAAAGGAGGCCAAAGCAGAGGTTCCCCTGACAGTAGTATTTTATTCAGTTAGTATGTCACTTGTCACACCTCTACAATTTAATTTTTTTTTGCATGTCACACCATTTTGCTCAAAATCCTCTCCCAAAAAGACCATTGACGTGCTTGCTTGCCAAAAGACAAACAAGGACTAAGTGTGCAAGTGCCTTCAGAGCTAACAAACTCCTCAGGAAACTCAACACCAAGAACTCAAGAACTCAAGAGAGAACTCAAACTCAGAAGGGAAAGGGGAGGAAAACACTGGGGAGGATGATGCTAACTACTAGCTATGGACAGGCCTTTATAGACTACATAAATAAGGGCTAAATGAAATAGAAACTAAAATCAAATGGAAAATGAGCAACAAAGTCAGGAAAGATAGGGAATGGAAACTAAGGTAGGAAATGGCAACTAGAAAAGGAAGTGGAAACTAAAATAGGAAATCAAACTGGGTGACAAAGTGTGACTTGTGACGAGCAGGCTCGTCACCATTTTTTGACATTTCCGGGTGCCTTCAGCGCCTAGAATGTCACACTACTTTTGACAGTTGAATTGAATAAAATGCAACAGTATATGTCATGATAAGGGATGAAAGAGATGGAAAGAAGAGTTTATTTATTTTTGTGTGTCTCAGGTCTTGCCTAATTCTAGCTCATATTGAAGGAAACAACATTCATGTTATAAATAATTGTCCAGACTCTGCATGCTCTGCATCTCCACCATTTCTCTCCACTGGCACCTGGTCAAGGCACTCATCCTCATATGCACTGTTGCTGCTGGGCTGAATGGCATCAACCTCCTGCAGGTTGATCATTGACACTACGTACTCTAAAGTCTGACCTCCCAAAAGTCTAGCTTGAAGAATATTGCCACAGGTGGGTACTTAGGGACCACCTTCCCCTCCTTATTGGCTTCCCTGTGTGGCAGCTCACGCATATCAAGCCTGATGTCCACTATTCTCTCTTTGCCTTGGAGTGTGAAACACATACTGGTACAACTTGAACACCACCCCATTCCAGGCCACCTGCACGTCTGCTGCTGTGCAACTCCCAGTCTATTTCCATCCACACAGCATCCCTCATCCACATCTGTTGAATGAAATTTACTTGACCTCTCAATGAATTTGTTGTGCAGTGTGGCCACTAGTCCATCCATGTGTGGTAGCTAGGAATAATGATGATGGTGATCTATCTACGTGACATGATCCGAGTGGTCCGGCCTGATTTCCCATCACAGCAGTGACAAAAGGCGCAAAGCAAGGCCTAGGCGCCTCGCGGAGCAAGCGACCCCTTGTTAAACAAGTAACAAGACTTATGTCTTAGATATTTTCAAGGACAAGTAATCAGTCTCTGAAACAATCAAAAACTTCTGTGTCATGAGGCTGACAATTTTTACATTTGGTTGGCACTTTTTCAAAACCTTCCCAATGATCATCTATTCTGATTGTGTAATCATCAAAGGTGAAGACGGAACATGCGCCGGCGGCTGTTTATTGCAAATGGGTTAACAAGCTTGCAGAAAATTATGGAGACAAAATTTTTCAAGTATGAATTATTATTATGCCAAGTGCGGTATTACTGTAAGCAATCTTGCATTCACGAGCGCACGCGGTCAGGGCCTGCCTGCAGGCCATCAACTCGGCGGCACGGTGCCCTGGCGCGCAAACGAGTCCGCCAACAGCGCCCGGACATCCCGCACCGCGTCCCTGTTCGGGCCAAAGAAGCCGTCCGCCTGTACGTCGCCCCAATGGAACGAGTGGAACGAGTCCACCTCGTACCCCGCGGCCCACAGGTCGCGCACGTACGTCGTGTTGAACGGCGGGTCGTTCTTCCACCAGTGGTCGACCCACACGATCTCCTCGTCCGCGGGGAGGATCAGGTGCAGCGTCGTCGGCAGTGCCTACTAAACCGTTAGCAAAACGAGGCGGGAGGAAAGCAGCTTACGATCTCGAGGAAGCAGTCTGTGCGCAAGAAAGTCCCCAGGACATCGAGGAAGTCCGCGCGGAGGTGGCCGGGGATGTACATCGTGTCCGCCGACCCGCCGATGACGCGGTGCTCGCTGCCCGTCAGGCCCGCCAGCCGGTCGCGCATGTGCTGCGGCTGCGAGTAGAAGAACCTGAGGCACGCGCCGAGCCCGACGTACTTCTCCCTAAGGTAGTTGAATTTAAAACCAAATCAGTGAAGACAAAGACTCACCCCCACCACCACTCCCACGCCCCTCCCCAGCTCCTTGCATTCTTCTCATAGCGGCCATACGCCGTCTTGTACGCGTCCGACACCTGTGCCGGCGGCGGCCGCTTCAGCACAACTTGCTCATCCCTTTTCATGTCCGCCGTCCCCTGCGGGGTCTGTGCCGGATTGGGCACAAACCGCGTCGCAAACGGACTGTGGTACCACAGCCGGTCCTGTGGGAACTGCATCAGGCGCGGGATGTTTAGCAGCGCGTCGAACGGCGCCCAGAGGTACCCGCCGTAGCACGGGTGGTCCTTGACGGCCGTGTAGAACATATGGTGGGCCTAAAGCGTCAGCATCGTTCAATAGCAACCAGGGAGAGCGGCACACCATACGCCCGCCGAGCTTCGGCCACCCGACGTCCAGGTCCTCGTGCGACATGTACGAGTCCAGCGCAACGTCGTACGAGTGCGTGAACCCACGGTCCTCGCGGCTCGCCGGGCCGATGAACAGCAACTGGGCACGTGTCAGTCCCAGTCCTTTCTTTCTACGTCGACTCACGTTCGGGAAATACGCCGAATAGGCTTCGCGGTAGCCGTCCAGATTAATGTCGTACCGCGCGTGGCTGAAGAACACCACCACCAGCACATCGTCGAACGCATGGAAGTCCGGGCGGTCCCCCGGCCCGTCAAACACGGACGTCAGCGGCAGCGGCCGGCGGACACACGTGCGCGTGTCGTTCCACGCCCGCTCGGTCGTGTTGTACGCCGCGCTGTGCTGGTGGGGCAGCACGACCCGCGTCGTATGCTCCCGGACCCAGTTCTCGTGGTTCCAGATGTACGACTCGGTAGAATGGGGAATGGGCGTCAGGCCGTGCGACACGATGGCAGCCAGCAGAGGGACGAATGTGCTCGCGAGCAAGACCACATTGAGCCGTGATACTGACTTGCGAGGGTTACTGCTGTGGGGACTCGACGCATCGGCCAGGTAAGCAAGCCCAGTATACAGCGCCAGCCCCGCCGCGAGCATCTGCACATTGGTGAAGGAGATTGTCGTGGGGAATGCGAGGCGGGAAAGCGGGATGTTGAGGGAGGTCGAAAGCAGCGAAACAGCCCAGAAAGTGAAGGGCGACGATTCTTAAGCAGTTCGGCAATGATTCCAGGAAGACAGACTGGGCACTCACGATGGACAATGGCAAGACCGAGGAGGTCCTCGACGATGTACATTCCCAGGCCGAAAAAGGCGGCCACCCAGTCGCGGGGCAGCGAGCGGGGCGGGAAGAATCGTGTTTTGGCGGGACAGGCGAAGACGCCGATGAATGCAGCGACGGTGGTGCTGAGGAAGATGAACCGGTTAACGCGGTGGAAATCGGCATTGACGGTGTATAGCTGTTGGAGTTAGCGATTCTCCAGCACAATGGGAAGGTGCATACCGCAAACGGCATGAGAGAAAAGAGCGAGGAGACGGCTGCGCTGGTGAGGAGCAGTGAGTATGCTGCGTGTGGGTATTGGGGCACTTTGGTGACGCGATAGAGCAGACATAGAGCGACAATCTGAGAGTTATGAGCGTGAATTTCGGCGGAAGAGCTATCACGCACCTGCAAGAGCGCGCTCGTTATGTGTGTCAACGGGGTTCCCTTTCGCAAAAGCACGAATTGGTGGAGGATGACGAATAGGATAGGCAGCGCGTCTACAATGTCCAGCGTGACTTGATTGGAGTACGCCGCGCGGGCTTGCAGCTGGTCCAATCAGTAAACCGAGAAAAAAGAAAGCAGCAGACGCACCAGAAGGTGGTGGACGAAGAACACCCCGCCAACCAGCGCCCCGACAACCCACTTCTGCTTCCTACCCCACACACTTTCCACTGCCGTCGCCTCTTCTTCTCCGCGCGCCTGCAGCACCAGGGGCTCCTGCTCCGCGTGCTTTACCCTCCGCTTGTCAACCCACTTTTCCTGCACATATAACCACCCGACGGTCGCCGCAAGCTTGATGAGCTCGAGCCCGAAATGGACCTCGAAGGGCGGGTCATGTCTGCTGGGGTGCGCTGGGTCCTTGAAGCCCGCCTTTAGACACCCATGGGCGATTTTGAGAAGCACAAATGCGGTCTGCGGACGGGTCAGCCCCAGAAGAAAAGAAAGCTACAACTCACTAGCAGCGCGGGTGAAGTGCCGTGCAGCGTGCGCGACGTGAATAGGGCCCAGAGACGGGCACCAACCATGGCGGCTGCGGAGAAGTGATAGAGAATTGAATGGGCTGGGAAATTTCGTCATGGGCGCACATTAAGCGACCGCCGTGACGCCCGAGCGCCCGCTTTGATCACATCTGACCTTGTGTCTTGGCCAGGCTTGCCAGGTAGCAAGTAGATACTAGAAAGTGACTTTGGCGCTTGGCGATGTGGTCAAGAGCAAGTCGACAACGATGCAAGTCACATCAAGATTCAACATGATATCACACTCGCATTCAAAATATAAGTACGGTTTTAACTTTTTTTTTCTTTGGGAAGAAAAAAACTTCAAGTTGTGTTAGTAGCATAGCCCAAGGAAGGCCTGCGCAATCATTAACCATTGAAGCAGGTCAGGATATTTGTAGGTAACTATAATCTATGTCACGGTCATCATAAAAATTTAACTGAGTCAGACGGTTCATCTCCCACGAAGCGCATCAGCGCGCTTCTTCCTCAACACTGCAGTAAAGTTGTCCTCCCGCCTGTAGCGTCGCCGGGTAATGACATTACATGTGTCGCCCAGCGGCTCACACTCGGCCGGCTGGCCCGTCGCCGGGCTCTGGTCAAGCTGGTGAAAACTGTCAGCACGAGTGATGACGACAGAAGGGGGCCGAACGGACCGCGTAGAGACAAGTGCGCATCGCACCGTCAGTTGGGCGGTAATAATAACACTCGAACCCTCCGTAATCCGTATATATCTGCGCAGTGAGCCTTATCCCCGGGCCGGCCAGCGTGGCACAGCGCACGCCGCAATCGCCCGCCGTCTCCGGCCGGGCGCTGAGCGCGGAGCACACGTTGGCGTTGTACGATGTCGGCGTGCCGTCGCTCTGCATGCGTATCAGCCGAGATGCCGGTTGATCACGATGATGATGGGACGTACCAGGCGGAACTGGCAGGTGAATCCGCTGCCGTCTACAGCGGTGTTCACGCAGTTGAGCACGCCGTTGACAGGGTCGAAGACGCTGCTGTACTGCACGCTGGGGCTGTCGGCCTGCGGGCAGAAGTACGGCGGGCGGTAGTACTCGACCGGCACCGGGGAGCTGACAGGCTCGGCAGGGTCACGAATCTGGACGCGCGCGGGAGTCGGCAGGGCGGCGCGCGCAAGCGTCGAGAGGCACAGCGCGAGGAGCGCTGGTCGTAGGAGGTGGGACATGGGCAAGGGGGAAGGGGGAAGGGAATGCAAAAATCCGCCCTTGCCTGTAATAAAAGGGCGCCAAGCACTCCCTGTCAAGCACCGCGAGCAGAGAGGAGGCGTTTGAGGAGCAGTTGAATGGCGATAGCAATGGCAGTCCGAATGCTTGACACTTTGGCGACGTTGCAGACGTCAAATCAGTGGCGTCGTCGAAGCGGCATAGGACAGGGGACTCCAAGAATAATAGATTATACAACTTGAAGAGGCATTCGTCCGTTATGGTTAGCGCAATAAGATACGTCTATCTCCAGTATTTTCGAGGGGTGTATTCTCAATTCCAGTCAACGCTCAAACTCTTCCCATTCGAATTCACCCATCTCCACTGGCATCGCTTGTCCGGGTAACGGATACTCCGCAAATATACTCGGCGTCCCCCGCCCGCTGCCCGCGCCGGTCGCAAACCGATGCCAGCCCCACTCTGGCGGCACCGTGCGCGTGCGTAGGCCGGTCTCCATGAGGCTGTTTTCTCCCGTCGGCCGAAAGTGCTACGGGACCCTTAGCGCTGCATTGAAGGTGGAGTCCAGACGTACCAAGTAGCTCGACGGAACCGCGGTGCGTGTTTCAAGCTCGCCCTGTGTGGGCTTTGGGGCGAGGCCGAGCATGAGGCGGCTCGTGAGGGTCGCAGTCAAACTACAGAATGCGAGATGAGAACACAGTCCTGCTTTACGATAGCGTGGATACGCACGCCTCGACGAGGGGAGCGATGAAATTGCGGCCATGCGCCCGAGCCTGAACGGAAGACGAATGAGCCGGGGCGTTACGTGGAAGAGAATTGATCGGACAGAGGGGATTTGGAAGAAGACGGCTTCCATCGCCATGATGCCGAATATCAGTCTGCGAAGCGATAAGTTTAACAAGGTCTCTAGAGATTCGGAATTGAGTTCACAGTAGGGCCCGTATCTCTGGGGCGTTGATGAGTGCCGTTAAGATACATATAATCTCCCATTCGGGACGCACCTTCTCCGATGAGATGTTGCACAAATATGGAGCGAGGCTGCCCGAGAGAGGAGTGGAACCAGAGGTAATAAAGGAAGGCGAACGTAGAGAGGGCATCAAACATGCTCCGAAGTACCGGGGAGAACAACACTGGATATAATGAGCTGTCAGTCTACACAATAATAAAACACGAACTGACCGATTCTGGAAACCATCAGTTTTTATGGATGCCGCGATGGAGGGACGCACCTTGCCACCGGCGCCGGATTCAGCATTCGGCAATGAGGGAATACGGAGGGATCAGAGAAGGCGATGTCCATGATGGGAGCGAGAAGGCCGACCAAAAAGAGGGCGACGGCGATGTATCTGCTAAGCAAGATCCATATTCGGCGGGTGAGGAAGTCTCTCGGATCTTAGTTAAATCCAATGAAACAGGGAGAAGATACGCACAAGCATAGCACGCTTGGAAAATGAATTCAAAGCTTGAAAGCGCTGCATCCCACCGTTGGCAACTGTCGGCATCAGATTGCGGTGTAAGTTTCTAGCAGTCCACGAAATTGGGCGAAATCGTTCACCTCTGAAGAATGTTAGCTTTGGAGGTCGAACAGGCACTGCTCGAACCTTGGCATTCCAATTCCTTGTGACGACACGCAAAACCACACATACGTGGTAGCATATTGGAATGTACCGCAGCACCACGAACGACACAAGTGCGTGTATTGAGAACTGCGAGCGTTTGAAGAGCGCGTAGAAGTGCCATTCCGCGTGTAAAGTGAGCACGCAGTCGTAGAGGTACAGGACTGTCGTGTCACGCAACAGTCAGCCAGGTCATTAGCACTAACTGGAACGCACCTGCAGCGGAGATGAGCACCCTTTCCGCCCAGAAGACGCTCGAGCTGTGGAGGCATTAGAAACCCTCATGGATGGTGCACAGTCTCACCTATCGCCTCCCATGGCCTTGGGGCGGAAAGAGGGCGGGTGCGTACAGCAGCTGTGGCTTATATTGCCACGGAAGCGGCGGAGCTGTGAGGAGAAGCGCTATCAGACGGCATGGGGCCGCTCGATGTCGAAGCAACGTTGTGGTCGGTGTTAAGATGATGACGTGTGACAATTCCCACGGAACACTTCTTCCGTCTCACCACATCGGACCCTTCGGTTTCTGGCGCCGATGGAGAGGAATGCGCAGCAGATCTCGAGCAGAATAGCCTGGCGTCGAACAAGCTACTTCGGGGCGGTTTGGGCGAAGGTTAAACTAGTCTAGTTCAGCCACAGCTCACTGGGTTGTTTTTAATAGGCGTAATTGTCCTCGGACTCTCTCTCTCGCTGAGCTATTCAGTCACTCAGCTCGCCAAACCGCCATGCACGTGTGCTCGTTCTTCGCTCGAGTGTTGCAACTGGGTCGGAACTGGGGCACGATGGCGCGAAGAACATCGGCCAAGCCCTTCCTCACTCAGATCCTGTCTTCCTCGAATCTCTCTCGCATCAAGCCACTTAAAATGACGTTGGCAAATGAAAGGGATTGGTACCCGCCATGCCGGCGTTCTCCCACCAACGACTGTCGGCCTTCTGGGCGGCGTTTATCATACTCCCCGGAGTCGTCTTCGAGAAGCCGCCGACTCGGACAGTGATAGTCATGTTCCCCCGTCTCTCCCAATTGGGCCAGTCGATATCCCCCTACCTTCGACTGTCTCGGACCACACCTTCAGCCTGGACCAGGGCTCTTGGCCATGAGACGCGAAAATCCACGGAGGTTTTTTCCTGTGCAAATTCATCCCGCCCATGGCACCGGAAAACTGCTTCTATTTCTCATATACTTATATATGCCGGACCCTGTTCAAGTTCTTGCCAGCTAAGTCCATAGAATGAAAAGTCAAAGTAATTGTTCACAACTGTGCTGTTTCTTGAGGGGTTCTCAAGATTTTGATCCCTGGGCATAGAATGATTATGATGTATCAAAAATATTATTGTGCCATCTTGTCACCAAATTTGACTTGAAATTGTTGTCAGATAACTTATAAGCAAATTTTACAGGCTGGGGGATTCTTGGTTTGATTTGATGACAGCTCATGGATGATGGTAGAGTCTAGACGGAAAATACTTAAAATTATCTACCTCTTTTATAACATGATTGTAAGGGCAACCCAGGAGGCCTGGGATCAAGCTCCTACTAGCAGGATCTAAAGAGAAGAAACTCTAAGGGTCTGCCTGCTAGGTAGCTGACTATATACTGCTTGTCCGTGGCTGCCGCTGTAGCCTGTCAGGCACAGAAGGCCTGGGCGGCATTGCAGGCAAGGTCCCAGGGCAACTGTTGGGAGGGCATTAACGGATTGGGGATTGTGCAGGCAAGATGGAGGGCCGGGCCAGGAACCAGAATCAGAATCGTCTCCGAGGGGCCAAAAGGGAGGTTCCCCTGACAATGATTATTTCGCTACGGCTCTTACGAGTTCAGGGTTATACCTGAAGGTCTTACCAATGCTTCTGCTGCGTTTCAAAGATTTCTTAATAGTCTTTTCTCCGACTTACTGGATGTTACAGTTATCGTCTATCTTGACGACATCCTAGTCTATTCAGACGACAAGTCGAAGCATGTCGAGCATGATTGGCACAAGTTACTGCTGATCGCAGAGTTTGCACTCAATAATGCTCCCTAACGCTTCTACTGGCATATCACCCTTCTTCGCGAACAAAGGCTATGATCCCTCTATTATGATTCATCCAGAGCGTGATGTGGCTAATGTTTATGCTAAGGACTACGTCGTCGATCTCCAAGAGCTGCACGAGTTCCTCAAGGAACAGATCAAGTATGCTCAGGAGCAGTACAAAGAGACTGCAGATCGGAAACGCATTCCGGATCCGTCTCCGGCTATTGGTGACGAAGTCTTTATCTCGACCAAGTACATCAAGACCAAGCGTCCGACTCTAAAGTTCTCGGAAACACACTTTGGTCCCTTCGAGGTCATCGGAAAGCCCAGTGCTGCGTCCTATCAAGTCCGTCTCCCGAAATCTCTTTCTCAAGTTCATTCCGTTTTTCACGTTTCCCAAATCGAAATCCACACACCCAACAAGTTCCCTGGTCGCGAAGAGCCACCACCTGCGGCAATTGAAGTCGATGGAGAAGAACACTTCGAAATCAAACAAATTGTTGACTCCAAGATTGATCACCGTTTCAAGGGTCCGGCTCGACTCCGCTACCTGGTCGAATGGCTTGGTTACGAGAACACTGATGCAGTTGGGTTGGTGCACTTGACTTGGAAGCTGAAGAGTATATTGAATCCTTCCATCGTCAATACCCCAATAAGCCTAAGCTGGATTAACGTCACTCAACTTACTCTCACTCCGTCCCGGATTTTTGAGATAAGGAAATTAAAATTCTATTTTCATTATAGTTCTAATCGTGTTTCTTGTTTCCGTCTCCAAGGTGTCTCCGACCCTTCTACTCTGCTCTTCCCTTCCCTTTGTCGACCTTCGCCGGGGGCTCCTCGTCCACATCCATCGCGTCATCCTCTTCGACTTCTTCCTTCCCCTCTTCGTACGGCTTGCCCTCTGCGTCCCCCGATTCCGAGTCTTCCCTGTCCCGAGTCCGACACCGTTGGCCTTCCGCCTAGCTAAACATGTCCCAGTGATCCAGGGTTTTCTCGATACCCTGCACATGTTCGGCCACCCCCCTGCGGCATGGTTGCCGAGTTGATTCCGCCAACGTTGTGGCAAATCTCGCCACCCAGGTTCTGTAACCCCATGATCACTTGGCCGAGTTGCCAGTGATCTTGGTCTTGGCGCTCCAGCCGGTCAGCCAGCATCACGGAAAGCGCTGTGTTACCGACTCCACCCTCTCCCCGCTCATGCTCGCCTTCAGCTCTGCAAGCTCTTTCGACAGCCACAGGAGGTGCTGCCCTTGCTCGTTCGCCAGCTGGGTGAGCATAACCTCCTTCTCCTTGCTTTTCTTGAGCTCGGAGCAGCTCCGCTCGAGCACCTCGTGCTGGTCCTTGGTTAAGCCAGCCTTGCTATGTTGAAGGTTAGTTCGGAGTCACTCCGTTGGCGGTACCACGCACCCTTTTGGTCTTACGACCCATTTCGTCTTCGGAACCTTTCCGGGCCAGTCGCACCCCATCTTGATCTTTGCGCACGGAGCGCAGGAGACGCTATTGTTGAGCGTTTGGTCGACGCAGGTTTTGCCTCCAGCAACGCATCTAAAGCAAGCTACAAATCGGTTAGTACGGATCCGTAAGCTCCGCAACGGAGCACTCACGAACGGCTCATTCTGCCATGGTGATGGTGGGAGGGAAGGAGTTGGGTCCGACATCATGAAAGCCCACGATCCGACACTCCCCGACAAACTTTTGATCATCATCTCCGTCTCCGCCAATTCATTTGCTGCGCCATGCTGCGGCCCTGCCACTATTCGATTTAAACTTCCACAGGGTTCTCCATCGAATCTTCTAGGCTCTCGCAGGCCTCGTACCTAAGAGGGGAATACTGTCATATCCGTGCATCCGTCAAGAGCCGCGGCCCGCGGGCCGGTCACGGTCCGCCGGGTTCCGGCCCGATCCAATCCGGTCGCTCCGGTGACCTTGTACTCTGTATGTCTTTCGCCTTGTTACTTATACCTCCGTATGTCCTTATGCTTGTTACTTTCCATATGCACTCCGTACCTTGTACTTACTTATGGTCTTCCCTTTCTACTTACTCGTAGTATTTAAGCAGCTACGGTACTTTAGCTTGATTATAAACGTTACTTGCACTCCTCCTCTGTGCGGAACGACTCCAACTACTCTCCTCTCTTCTCTTGTCCTTCAACCGGACTTCCCTCCACTCACAGACCTTGTCCGCTCCGACTCCGCTCCGGTCCGGTTGGTCTTGTGTTCATTCATGTCAGGCAGCTACTGGCTTGGTAGCTATAGTAGAAACCCCCTCTGTTCTGCACGGCACTTGACACCACGTGGTACTGGCCTTGGGTTTGCGCCATACGCACGGGGTACCGGCCTTGACACTTGGCGCACGTTTCTGCCAAAACAGGTCAGGTTTATAATTCAAAAGCAATTTTATGTACTCACTTTCAACCTCTACGTCGTCTTCTGCAACGGACCCATCAGTCTGGGCCTTGTCGGTGTTCTTGGCGTCTGCGGGTTCTTCCGCCTTCTTGGGTTCTTCGGTGACAACAGCCGAATCGGGCTCCACGTGCGAATCAATGTGCCTCGTGACTCGGCGGCCAACTCGGGTGTTGGCCTCCACTTCCTCGGCATGCGTCAGCGGTGTGAGTCCGTGTTCGTGGCGAGCCCTGACCCGCTCTCTGGCCAACTTGGCCTGGGCCCTACGCTGTTCCTCCTTTGTCTTGGCCTTCTGCTGTTTCTCTTTGGCCTTATGCTCGGCCATTTCTGCCTCTTTGCGCTTGGCCTCGGCCTCGTCATCCTGCCCCTCGGGTATCACCTGCTGCTGCTCGGCTCGGCTTCGATGGTACTCAGCCGCCATTTCGAGGACTTGGTCTTCATCGGTGGGAACCCACTGCAACGGCGCCACCGCAGACCCGTGCTCTGACAAATCTTCATCAATCGTCTCATTGTCAATCGTCTCGTTGTCAACCGGGTTGTTGGGATCGTACAACTCCGACCGACCACCCGGTGACGGTGCCCTCGAAGCCATCGCTGCCAACTGAGCACCCAGCGTCTCCGCTCTGCGCTCCACCTCCTCCAACTCCCTCTGCACCTCTACGCGGTGGTTATGACCAGACAGTAGGGCGTCAGCCAAGGGGTCTCTATCCGTCCCACCGACCCATCCACCCACCCTCTCCGTCTCCGACAACTCTTCAACCCGTGCCACCTCGGTTTTGAAGAGGTTCTTGGCCTTCTTCGGGTTCTTGAGGTTTTGGCATTTAGGCGACATGGTGGGAAGTGGTAAAGATAGCGAGATTGATGTCAATTTTCTTGTTACCCCTTTCCTTTTCCGTCCTTCTTGCTATTATCAAGTTCTCCCCAGCTTCCTCGGTGATCTTGATTTTTGAAAAGATAATGTCATATTATTAACCCTAATTTATCATAAATAAGTGTGATTTATCATATATAATGGCAATTTGCTTATTTCTAATATACTGTACCAATTCCTTCAGTTTGCCAAGATAATGGCATCAATTTCCATGATTTGCACCAGAAACCAGAAAAATTGAGAAGAATTAATAGCAGGATTATTGAAAAATGGGTGTGACCTGTGACACCTAAATTGAATGGATTAGTGCAGTATTAGGTACACTTTGGTGCTGTCCCTGATTTTCATCTTTTGTAGGATATTTGGTATATTTCTTTGCTGCAAATCATAGTCACAAAATTGTCAGCTCATATTGGCTTTGAGTCAAGTCTAATCTGATAATTTGATATATATCCCAATTTCTTACAAATCCATTCTATTTTCCTAGAGTTTTATTTGTTATCTTTCTAAGTTGTTAAAATATACATTTTCTTGTTCAGTTGAGCAAGACTTATATGTTAAACAATATACTCTTCACATACTACTGTACTATTTTACTTAATTTGCAGGCCATTTTTGGCATGATATTGCATCCAGAAATTTGAACTTTTATCAGTTCCTTATTAGTTCTTGGCATGAAAGGCGCAGGAAAATGTGCAAAATTACTACTTGTGGACACGAGTCACATGACATTCAACTTCCACCTTGGAATGGGATGCTCCAACCCATTCTGACCATCGCCTATGGCCTTCTTCGCCCGCACAATCACTAATCTGTCAAGACCCTCTCAATGATCCCCTTGGGATAGAGCCTGCGATGCTGCTCAGGCCGTCTGTGCTCTATGTTGGCAGTTATGGACAACTAGTATATAGTTGGTGCCCTAGTAGTCGGACCCTTGGAGTTTCTTCTCTTTGGATCCTCCCCTGCTAGGCTTTCATCGGAGCCTCTGGGTTGCCATGGTCATAATTTCTAAAGTTGGGGCTGTTCTCATAATATGCTTCCTATACTGTACTATTTCAATCAATTAGTCCTGTCACGGTCACAGTGACTTTTTTGACTGAAAACTTTCTGCCTGTCACAGGTCACAGTGAATTTCTTTGGTCTCAAACCATCCCAAAATGGTAATTTTTGGAAAGTTGCAGAACTTCCATATAAGGCAGGAGGTCACACCAAATTCAGCCCTTGGCTGAATTGCACATTTCTGCCACATATGTCACAGGTCACAGGCCCGCAGAATTGAATGAAATAGTACAGTATGCTTGTTCCATCCCTTCTGGAGGTGCATGCTCTCTGTTGTCACATGCTATGTGTCCCAGGCTCTCAGTACAATCTTAGTAGCCCAGCATCAGCACCTGAGAGGATGGGTCAGGTCTTATCTATGACAGAAACCCAAGTCTTGCCAGCTGGATGATGTCAGTGACTGCCATCACCAACACCGAGTGTTAAGAACCTTCTTTGCCATTCCATTAACTTAGCTCATTCACTCAGAATAACTAACAAGATTAATATTTGGCCTACTGGTCAAGGGTCTTACTTAAACGTGAGAAAGGGTCTAATGATCACATTTGTCACAAGTCTCAAAACTTATTTAATCCTTATTGAGCTATTTCATCAATGGGATTGATGGCATTAACATATCTAATCAATGTGGAATAATTTGTTGATCCACATCAGTAATTTTGATGGCTGTATAGACATGTATTATAATAATTTGGCATGCAGAAGCATTTATTCACTAATTTAAGCTGTTTAAGAACAAAACTAGAGAGATGACTGTTGGATATGTCTGAGTATGGATCTGCAGGGGTTTTCTTATAGATAAAGCAACAGATCAACTTGTCTTCGTATTTTGAATGGTACAGATATATCCTATGGTCGTCTCAAGATTCTTCCTCTATATTAATACCACCTTGAGTTAGTAGATAAATGTGGTATTTATCTAACATAATCTAACAGTTCTACTCTGGTTTCTGATTTAGAAATTTTCTTGTCATTCATCTACCAGCTTCTATATAAAAAAAATATCCACATCGGTACTCGTCATAGTGTCTTTATTGCTACAACGGCCCATCAGCTAACCCAAGATCATGATCACTTAAGTAATCATCGTCATCATCATTGCCTCGTCCCCCTGTCAGCTTCAGTAAGTTATCCAGCACCCCCAAATAGGCTCGGAGTTCCTGTGCGTCCGCCATCTGTGCCATCTTCGTGCGCGCCGTCGTGTCGTCCTCCACGCCAAGCAGGTGGAACGCTGCGCGGGCGTAATCGGGGCCCCAGCTGCCGAGACACTTCGGGATGAACCAGTTGAGCAGCGAGAGCGCGTCTGTGCTGATGGCATGGATGCGCGGGAGCCACACCGGGTTCGAGCCCAAATCCACCGCGCGCCGCCAACTGATGCAGGTTTCGGGCAGCCGGCACTTCCGCAGCATCGGGCCGGCGCACTCCCGGAGGAACAGGCTCTCGTTCTCGACGTGCGGTAGCCGGGCAGCGGGGTTGTGGAACACGCAGTCTCGGAAATAATCGGTGATGTTCAGTATCTCCAGGCGAGGGAGGTGTTCGAGGAGCGGGCCAAGGGCCTTTAAGAACCTGTTGAACTGTCGAGGAACCGGGGTCTCAGCAGGGAGGGGTGGACGGAGAGAAAACACACCTTTTTCTGGTAGCGCATATGGGACCGATCGCACTCGCGCCCTTTTACGATACGGAGTTCCAGGAGGTCCCGCCAGCGAGCGTCGAAGGTGCCGTTCTTGAGTTGGAAGAGTTGGAGATAGGCTGAACGCCAGTCGTGGACAGACAAGTCAAAAAAAGAGAGATAGCCCGCTCTGTGGAAGAATGATCACCAAAGGCAGTAGCTTGCACTACGCCTGTGTGCCAAGAGATGATGACTTCCAAGGCCGCCAACCTTGGGGGAACATGTATCAGATTGCCGAGTACAGCGATGGGGCCCCGAAAAGCAAGGAAGTTGTGGGTGGTAGGCAGTAGCCCAAGCAAGGAATCTTTGCTGGTCTTGTGGATTATGAGATAGAATTCGCGGACGGAGGGGTGCTGAGCGAGGAGTGCGAGTGCGTGGGGATTGCTATACGAGTCGGGGATGGCGAGGTAGTCTAGCGAAGGGAAACTAGCGTTAATTGCGAGAAGCCTTTCTGCTAACGATGACGCAGACGAAATTGAGGTGGAAAGTTCGCGTAGTTTCCCACAGGTCGCGAGGGTGGTGGCCAATGCCAAGATAGCGGCTTCATCGAGGACGATGCCCTCTGGAAGCGTGCTAAATAGTAAGAAATCAGCTTGAAAGAACAGAAATGGGCGGTTGGCACGCACAGGACGAAGGACCTAATGAGCCCGGCATACTTCGGCTTGGCCTGCATCGTGCGGAGCCACCGTTTTAATCCCTTCCGGGAGTCGAGCTCGACAGTGCGATAAATGATGGGGAGACAGATCTTCCAAAGGCGGTGACTGGTGCGAGCGAGGCGTGTGAGCCTACGCTGGCTGTCCACGGCCTGGGCAATGGCGCCAAGCAGTTCAACGGGGAGCTCAACAAGGAGAGTCATAATGATGCGGAGCGTTTGACGGGTGCAGATCCAAGGGCACACTCATTATATATGTGCCAGAACCGACAGAGCTTTGTCCGTTCGGAGGGCCTGAGATCGGTGGACAATGCGTCGACACTCGGACCCGGAGTTTACCGGCTTCAAGTTGGCTAGCCCTGCCCGGAAGACCTGAGCCCTTCGCGAGTGTTAGATTTAGAGAACGCACTACCGGGGTCCCATAGTACAGGCGTGTACCCTGGTCCAGCCACGGATGGACGGCCAGCGAGAACATGACCGTTCGGAAGAAGAGGATGAGTCATACTAAGCTGATGTGATTTGGATCAAGCGATGCCGGCAATCAGATTTGGAATCACAGGCAAGTTCGGCCATTGACATGGTGGATATACTTACTGTAGCATTTTATTCAATTCGGCGCTCGAAATTGGTGTGACATCGGCGCCGAAATGAAATTTTCAGCGTCCGGCGGCTCCAAGTGTGACCGCCGAAAATTTTGGGCAGATTACGGCGCGGCCCGCAGGCCTGCGCCACCCAAAAATAGTAAATCAGCTGAGGGAATTCAGCATCTGGGCTGTCGAGTGTGACCGGCGAAAAAAATTCGGCATTTTAAGGCCGGTGTGACGCGTGACCGCCGAATTGAATAAAATGCTACAGTACTGGAAATGAACTCTTTGATACATGGTTGTGTCTTTTAGCTGAATGTCATACAACGTTTCTGAGAAAGTTTCAGATGATAAGCACCACTTGTCACTTGTGTGTTTTCTGATTCCCTTTGGACTTTCTGTCTCTTTTAGTCCTTAAGCTTGCATGGCACTGGACATATGTTTTCAATTCCTTATGACCTGAATGAATGTTATTTGTTTCACAACACCCAATCTACCTTCTGCACCTCATTAAACTATGCTACTCTACAGTCCATGCTCGAGAAAACTACCTACGTAACTACTCATAAACGCAAATATGTACAACAAAAAGTCCGAACTGAAGCACCGTCCGACTAATACCGGCCCGCCTCCGAGGACGCGGACACCGACATCGAGCCGCGCCACCCACGTGCACTCGACCGTGAACTGCGGCTGCGCACCTCCCCCACGCCGACCCCGTCCTCGTCGTCCTCCCCGAGCACGTGCCCCTCCTCGTGCGGCGGTGACCTCAGCCCTGCGCGGAACGCCTGCGCCATGATCGCCGCGTCTGCGCTTGAAAACGGCTTCGCGTGGTGCCCCGAGCCGCTGACGCTGGCCGTGTGCGTGCTGTCGGGCGAGGTCGTGCGCTGCGGGCCGGACCGGAGGACCACGGGCGGTTCCGGGTCGGACATTTGCCGCGCGAGGACCCCCGGCGCTGGGGCTGCGATGGGCACGGGCAACGGGGCAACGACCGGCTTCTCCTCGGGATCCGGGCCGGGGAGCGGCGAGCGCATACGCGCCAGGCCACGCTCGCGCTCTTTGCGCCGCAGGCGGTATATGGCAAAGAGCATGCCGGCAACGATGAGCCCGACGGCGACGATCCCGACCACGATGATGACGATGGTATAGCGTGGGAACTGGGATGTCGACCCGCTGTGCTGCAAACCGCCCGCGGGGGTCACGGACGGCGAGCCTGAAGGTGCAGAGGTCATCGTTTGTTGTTGCTGTTGAGAGGCGAGAGAGGCGGAGCGCGAGGCGGATGCGCGGGAGGATATGATGGAGTCAGCGAAGGTGGTTTGGACGGCCGAGAAGGTTGTTTGTGGGGGTATGGTGCCGTCGTCAAGGCTTTCGCCGGCACGGGCGATGACCCAGTAGAACGGGTAGCTGATATTAGTCCCCGCCCAGTTTCCGCCACGGTCGCCCCACCAGGTGTCATTGACCTGGGCAGTTACGGCGCCTGCTCGCCCGCGAGGGTTGGTGATGTCGCGCATAACGAAGATTTGGGCGAGGGAGTCTCCGTGAAAGAGGTAGATGTCGACTTTGTTCGACTGGGTGAAGCCTGGCGTCCGGGAGTTCCCTGTGAATTGTGGTGTTAAGAGCGTGGAGTAGAGAGCAAGGGATAGGAAGCGCACAGACGAAGGTCGCCCACTGGTGCTGCGGTATCGACACGTCCGCGGTCGGGAAGCACGACAGCACCTCGTTTCCTGAGGCATTCTCGCACCGTGCCTTTGCGCTGTCTACCTCATCCGTTAGCGGTCTATGTAAGAAGAAAAGGCGCGGATGACGCACCGACAACGCTCTGGTCAGCGATGACCTGCCGCTTCCGCCTCCTCCTCTTTCCCTCGTCAAGCTCTTCACCTTGGCCTTGCCCTTCCCCTTCTAATCGTTTTCGTTTGCTACTCGCTGGCTCTGTCTGCGCAGGCCACACGGGCCCCGGCGGCGTCGGCATCTCCTCTGCCCGTCCTCTTAGGCGCAGCGGGGGTTTGGTGGAGCAGGGAGTGGAGCAAGAGTGCCAAGCAGACCCGGTCACACGTCCCCGTCTGCTGCTGTGTTGGCACGGTCTTCTCTTCTCCTCGGGAGCCGCGATGCAAGCAAATTCGCGATCTCTGTCCGGCCTGCCGCGGGTAACTTTAACGATAGTAAGCTGCGCAGTTTGCGGTCTCACCTCGCCGCGTATGCTACCAGGGTAGGTGCTCCTGCTGTTGCGTACCCTGCGCTCCCGGTGGCTGCAGGGTGTGTATGGCTCGCAGGGAGCGATAAGACACGGGCGTCGAGAGAGAGGGAAGAGAGGGAAAAAACCTTGACAGCGTAGAATGAAAAATGCTACGTCACCGCACGTCACCACTCGGCGCCCATCTGCCGTGCCACCTGCGTGCCACGGCACGTCTCCCACGTCTCGCCCACGCCACATGGCTCGTGCCGGGAGCTGTAGTCCTAAATGAAAAGGCACCGCGATGGCTCGCGATATGACCCCTGATAATAGGTGGGGAACCCTTATATCATCCGGAGAAAAACCACCTCATCTGGCCGGCCTGCCCATGTTACGCGGTCCGGAGAAGACTGCCGCAGGCGGAGCCAAATTAGGGATCCGGATATGAATGGACCCAAAACCGGCTCAGAATAGGTGTCAAAACCACCCGAGCGCGGCTTGGTTGCCGACCAAATTTTGGCCTCGACTTGGCATTTGGGCGCAACTATGCGGTATTGGGCGAAAATTTGATTTTAAACCGGGTTTTCGGCAAATTTCGGCCCGGATACGCCATATTAAGCGTCCGGAGAAAAATTGGGTCCAAAGCCAAGCCACATGTGGTATCCGGAGAAGAACCGGCCGCGGAGCGTTCGGAGAAAAACGGCCAATGCCATATATGGGTCCCCCACCCATTATCAGGGGTCCTCTCGTGATAGGACTTATACTTTATCAGAGTATATGAATGGCACCACACAGTGAGTTTTTACTTATGAGTACTTAACTATATGTGGTCTTTGCAAGTTGTTTGCAAGGTCTTTACCAACCATGCACTAAATGTCACGGATAAGACCCGGCCCGTCCTCTCCGGCGCTGGTGTCAGGCCGGGCCCGTAACATGCAGCACGTGACGACGGGGAACATGTGCCCCAGTAGGAGGAAGGCACACGTGGGAAGCACGTGACCGAGAACGACACGTCAAGCCATTGCCGAGCCTAACTCGACACCAGGGGACTGGGGAGGAGTGCTAGGAGGTTAGGAGTAGTGCCTGGCCCGCAAGGGATGTATGATCATCCCCTCTGCGGCCAGGAATGGGGGCGAGGAGGAGCAGGGGAGGCCAGGGTGTCCGATCACCCCTTTGTGGGCCCGCGTATATAAGGCGCGATAGCGTACCATGTACTCTATCGCTTAGATCGTCTGAAGAACTACCTTACTCCGTGCAAGGAGGTGCCATCGACTCATCGGGCCCGACACGACCTGATTCGAACCCTCGACCACCGACAACGACAAGGGATCGAGTTAACGGGCCCTTTCGGTTTCGATCTACCCCGCTCGCCATACTTGCAGGCCGACGATCCATCTGTTCTGTTCGGGCGCGCGTTCTTAGGAGAGGTCCTTGCACGGCCCGACCCGCAGTCTGACACTAAAACACTCTTTTTTTCCTTCTTACTGTGCCCAATTTTAATCAGTTTGTCAGTCACACACATTTGGACCCAAACCTGCCTTAAAAAAGCAATTTTCGACTGGATCCGGTGCCTGCCTACATTCCCTTACAGGAACATCAGTGTATTTGCGCTGTATTGGTCAAACTCTGGGTTCCAGAAACCTTTAGCTTTGTTATTTAAATAAACCTTTTATTCTGGCCCTGGTTGATAAGATAAGACAAGGAGGAGATAAGATGGACGATAAGATGATGATTGGATCATCAGATGTCGATGTTGATGTTGATTGACAGCGTGGAGTTGGACATGAGGCAGACAGCACGTAAAGGCATGGCTACAGTATGATGTCATTGCCTCTCGTATTAGGCATGGTAAACACATGGTAGTAGTGTATATAAGTAGAGTAGATTTCGTCTTGTACCCCAGTCTTCAAATTGCATCATCTTTATGATATCTTTTCATGGTGCTTCTTGCTTGCCTTCACTGGCCAACTGGCATCCTCTGAATTGGTGTTGTTTGTGACAGTATTGTAGCCTTAAGGACAGAATAGAATGCATGTCTGAGGGCAGTTTTAGGTCTTACCACTGCTGCCAACAACAACTACGACCTTGATTTAAATCAAGATACACTTATATTATTTGATCCTACAACCTGAGAACACTGACCAACATTGATTTGCTTTAATTTTACAGGACATTGACATGCTAGATTGATGTGAGGACATGAAGGATGGGGGAAAGATAGGGAAAGTATGCTCAGATGTGCTTCCCTTTATGGAATGCTACCTGGATGGAGCAACCCATATTGGAGTTGTTTATGCCATTTATAGTGTGGCAACTGATGCTCTTCACACTAATTGTTCCACCCTCAATGATGGAGACAATAAAGGGAACAGGTAATGTATCTACTTTCAACAATAACATACCAGCTGTGACTGTGACTGTGACCACTGTTTTGGGTTAGGATCAGTTTGGAGTAGGTTGTTGTTGTGGGGATGTTTAGCCACAAGAGGCATGTTCTGTATGTCATCTCTGTCCTATACTACATCAATAACTCTGGGGCTAGTCTCGGATACCCAGACATTCTTTCTGCAATCCTAAATTGCTGCTATCAATGCTTTATCTATATTGGGTTATTTCAAGTGATCTAAATATGATTTGAAGGAATTTTATTAATTGATAATTATGAATCATTTACATACTGTAGAACTCAGATAATATATGACACTAGTGTGTGACATCTACAGGTGTGATATATCTCCCAAAATAGAATTTCTTGCAGTTCAATAGCAATATTATCAGAGAATGTCACACATTGTCACAAAATCAAAGTCATGTATTTTGACTACATAAACAACTTTCATTGAGTAACCTATAGTGCAAGCTCAATGCATATGGTAGCACTACCCTATCCCTAGCCTGGTGGGCCTCTACCTCCTTAGCTACTTGGGCCAAAATCATGAATCAAATACCAGGAGGAAGGGCCTCAAAGGTACTATTGATTGATAAGATTTTTTGATTATTATTATATGATATGATTACCATATGGATGATTCAGTTATTAAGCAGAGATTATTTAGTATTTTAAAAAATGCAAGGTGGCTGACTTGTAAGTTCGGTGACTAGTTCTAGTGTGTATCCTCCTCAGTCCTAGTGAATATGGTACCAAGAATACATCATATTTACTTATTAATGGCTTTTGATTGCCATCATCTTTGAAAGATGAGCACAGATCTCCAGCTAGCCATGGGGGATAAAGCTGGGAGGGAGTTCATTTGAAAGATATACCATCCTACTATCCTTGAGCTTCATCTGCTATGTTTTGTGTCACCATTACCTTGATTTATTCACTGTCAAGCATGCCTGAATTTGAAGTTGAGTAGTGTTTGGCTGATATCTTGAGACTGGATGCATAGAATCTCACGATTCAAGTTGATATGATACCATAGGATGGTTTACCACCCCCCCCCCACCTATTTGTGACCACACAGCCGCTGGAAGGGTCAGTTAATTCTCTGAGAGCTTGGGTGCCATATATTTTAGGATGGAGATAAGCTACAAGGGTAAGGGCACCATTTTCTGGGAGGTGCATGATACCCCCCCACCTGTAGATGCACTCAGATTAATAAGATTCACAAAGGTCATACTATGGTGAACTTATCATTTTTGGGACAGATAACACTGATAATGGTTCTATAAGAGATCTACAATAGCTATAAGGTTAATTAAAGTGCTGAACAGGTTTATTTAAAGGTTCCTACAATCCTACACTCATGTATTAGATCATGCTCGAAATTAATTTCTGACCAGTTGTAATAGCGAAGACTCTCTCTTATGCTCTATAGGTACCTACCCTCTCTTTAGCTACCTTCTGTAACACATGCCAGAACCACAATAGATTATAGTATGGGGTCCTACTAGACATCCACATATCCTCATACATGCCTTTAAATGTTCAGTTATCAGTCTATAGACCCCACCATTCATGCAAACTAGTTCTGCACCTAACTCATCTTGGAATGTTCACTCCATTTCATCCTCTGAGAATATATAGGGATAAATCAAAGTATGTAGGTAGATGTATACACCTCATTTGCTAAGTTTTACATAGTTGATCTATAATCAACTTGCAGATTATAGCTGTATTGCCAATATGATGTGCAGTGCTATTCATCATTATAATGGGGAATAAAAGGATTTTCCATGTATATAATGTAGTGTGGGACATTTAATCTCATAGGGGGACCCTTCCTTATGCTTCCTACCCTTATACCATTGAGAATCCCTTACTTACAAGGGAGTTATTGGAAGATTGGTGTCATAGGATATATGTCATATATAGAGGTAGATAGGATACCTAAAATTATGAGGAGCTCCCATATCTATAACGAACATCTATTAAATTAGACTGCAACTTGAATCATACTTATCCATGAATTCCTTAGCAAGATATCAAGGGATCATTGTGCCTCATCAAATTTGAAACATAAAAACTGGAGAAACGCAGTATAATATCATGATGTCACCATATACAACTATAAACACATCAGTGCATCTTAAGCTTAAATAACCGGCTACCTACTAATATGACAATCTTCTGGATTCAGACAGAAATGGTAAAGGTATTGCAGCATCAATATATATGATGAATCATTATATAATGATATAGGTCTACCAATAACAGTTTATCATCAAGGAAATTGATCTTATCACTCAGGTACCTTAAATAGTGCTTTAATCACCTATGTAAGTTGTCTACTTGATCAGATATTCCTGTATCAGGTATAGATCAGCTAATGATTGGCTTGTGCCAATACAATTATTCAGCTGGGACTATAAGTCACTCAATAAAATTTGTTTATATGCTCAAAATGCACAACTTTGGTTTGTGACAATCTGTGACACTCTCTCTGACAATTGTACAGTCTTAAGAGAATCCTTCATTATCACTCATTGTATATGATAGCTTTTTTATAACATGATCATATCTAGCTGCCTGATTCTTATAGAAAATAATAAATAATTATCAACTGACAAAATTTTCCTTTTTAGGTATTTTGTCACACTTGTCATACTATGTGACATTGTGACTGAAGCACTAGGATCTGGCCTTCTCATATAATATACTTTAAAGTTTTCACTTATTCACAAACTGATTTAAGTTTGTGCTAATGGACCATCAAGAATGAGAATG